GTGAAATTTGAGTTCTTCAAATAGTTTTTAAACCAGTGAAGTTTGAGCTATTCAAATTAGGGGTCACGCGGGGTCCTGTGAGACTTGGCGGTGGTCACTCGTCGCAATGCTTGGGTAGTCGATTCCCTTTTCCCTCTGTCGTGGGTCGCAACTGGAGTATTCAGCTAGCCTTTGGCGCTTCCTGGTAGGCCAACCATGATGGCGATCATCAACACTCATACTCATATGGCTTTGTGCATCGGAGGCCAGTGGTGATCATCCATTTCTCAGAAAAAAGCCTCCTAGCTACTCTTACCACCATCTGTCAATTGCTTGCAACAATCTAATTGCGAAGTCCAAAAATAGTTAATGTGTGTGTGTTTTTGGAAATGCCTTGTGGTCATAATATTTTTTTACAGCTGGTTCAGAAGGAGAATGTTAATGCCAAGAAGGGTGGGAACATGTCACGGCACTGCGGTAACTACATCTTCCGAACAGTGACCCACATTTCAACTTCCATAGCTATGCTGGCAAGACGATGGCGAGGACTTGCATTCTGGCCATTTTGTGTGTTTGATGCAAATGTAGCGACAATTGTGGTGTTGATAGTAGTTACCATTTGTTTTTGGAAAAAAGTGAATATACCCCCTAAACTATGATGGTTTGGGCACATCACCCCCTCACGTCGAAAATTATTATCTTAAGCCACGAACTATCCCAAATCGGATAAATCACCCCTCGAGGCCTGCTAGCTGGTTTTGTAGATGGTGTTGTCTACATGGACCCAACTATCAGTGTAAAAACATATGTTGACCGAGGAATCGACCACATGCATGAGAGGAAAAAGGGTGTTGGACAACAACGGTGACCTCCGTGGTTCGCATCATCGACTACTATCATTCCTGTAGCGTGCGAAAGGACGAACCTACTCGCCAGCTGCCTCGCCCTCTCTAGTTCTTCTCATTCCGACCATGGCCGACAGCGACAATGGCAGCATCTCTGGTTGCCTCGAGACCCCGGTCCTAAGTAGGTGGGATGTCCCCCACTTATGCCTTCGGCTGCGGAGCCCTTTCTGTAGCAGACAACGCACTCAAGCTCATCGAGATGGCACAGGATGCGGACGTTGGGCATCCTCCCCATAGGCCCATAGTGGCATCACCCTCATTTCTGGAAGATGAGAAGAACGAGGAGGATACTATTGCGGCCATGGATAGTGGAAACCATGGCTCCATCTTGCTACATGCTCTATTTTGGTCAGAGGGGATTTTACGGGGGAGAAACGGTTGATTACACATGGGCCTTGATATGCCTCAGAAACCATCTCCTATTTGTGAAAACGCAAAACCACTCTCTAAAATCACCTACCAAGCTTCTAGGGGGTGATTTGTCTGGTTTAAGATAGTTGAGGGGATTAAGATCCTGGTTTTCAACGCTAGGGGTAATGTGACTAAAACGTGAAAGTTTAGGCGGGTATATACACTATTTTTGGGATGATATACACTAGTAGTACCGAACCCCCACCAGGACCCAAATGTCAATTTTTATCTCGTCCAGCAAGTGAAATTGAGTTGTTGTTATTGTTTATAGGTGTTGATAGTACTTACCTTTTTTGGAGTGAGATGGTATAGTAATTTACCAGTAGTACCTAACACCCATAACGGTTAAAATGTTGGTATTTATTTAGTCAAGAAAGTGAACTTGTGTTGTTTGTTACTGTTAATAGATAATGATGGGTTTGTTAGAAACTTCAAACAAATGGAACAAAGGGAAATTAGCAATATGTTGATGTGTACTCGAGTTTTAATATGACGTGATGCTATGTGTGTTGTCCATTTCAGATTTGTGTGTGGGAGTCTTCGCCTTTCCTCTCTTCTGAAGAAGTGGAGATGACACACATGTTGAGTTTAGTCACGCGGGCACACTTTTCGCGTCAGGGAAATTTTAGTCATTCCAATAGTTCTTAAATCTAGTGAAATTTAAGCTATTCAAATCAGTGGTCATGCGGGATCCCTTGAGACATGTCGGTGTCACCCATTGTAATGTTGGGTAGTCGATCCACTTTCCCTCTCCGTCGTGACTTGCTGCTTGATAGTCCGACTAGCCTTCAGTTGCGCTCCATCATTGGCCAACCATGATATCGATCATCAACCGTCATATTCTTATGGCTGTGTGTATCGGACGCCAGGGGTGGTCTTTCTTTTCTAATAGAAAAACACTACTACACTTATCATAATTTGCCAATTGCTTGCAACAACATAATTGCCAAGTCTTAAAACAGTTAATGTGAGCATGTTGATGGTAATACCTTGTGGTCTTGATTTTTTTATAGCTGGTGGACAAGATGATGGAATAGTCCAAGGAGAACGTCAACGCTAAGATGGGTGGCGCCCTGTCGCGGCGCTACGGTAGCTGTATCTTGTGAACGTTTGGCTCTTTAGAAGCACCCTATCTATCCAGTACGAGACGAACTATCTACTATGTATATGTCTATCTTTAGCTGACCTTTTTAATCAATCACATGAATTTAATAGCTATCTAATTCTTTAATTGATGGTTATCTCTTACATGCAGGCTATAAATAGGGAGTGTGGCGCACAAGACTGAACCACACACCACAAGAAAGAGTGTACATAGAGACCGGAGTGGAGAGATTGGATGGCGTCGGAGATGAGCAAGGATGTGAAGTTCTCCGAGGAAGAAGTCACCTCACGCCTGCACATTCTCGAAGGTGAGGAGCACATGGTTGTGCCTGCGCGGCAGTCTTTAATCTTCGCGCTTACACTGAACGAGCTACAATAGTCGATGTGCGAGGCGGGGCGCAATTTTGGGTCCACGAACATGGACGAGTTTGTGAGCAACATATGGAATCCCAAGGAGTTCCAAGCGGCGCTCGACGGTGCCTTGGTGGGCAAGGAGGAGGCTCCTATGGTGGGGATGCAGGAGGAAGCGGCATATGCCGGCATGGGTCCTTCTCCTTGCCTCCCCGGCTATGCTGGAAGACAGTGGAGGAGGTGTGGGCTGAGATCAACAGGGAGCCCCAACCGGTGCATGCCCAGCCTCTGACCCCGCGTCCCTCACCGCAACTTCCTGTCCAGCTAACTGTGGGGAATGGCACAAAGTCTTTTGACACGGTGATGCTACCTAGCGGCAACAAATCCGCCATTCATTGCTCGCGTCAAGATGCATGCAGGTGTGACCACTTTATTCTCATTTACTTCTATACACTGGTATACATCATCAAAATATAGCTAGTGGTCCCCATTATTTGTCCTTGGCATGGATACATGGCAGCAATATGATAGTGATCTCTTTCTCTCTATCTATCTATCTATATATCTATCTATATTCGATTAAATCAAACCTTTTATTTCACCTTTACAAAACTAAATCGTCCCTATCTTTTAAACCATAAGTTCCTACTTGAATTTTTTATATATATTTGAACTCCTGGCGCCAAGGCCTTTTAAACAAGAGTGATCTTCAATACATTTCGAACACATTTAAATTTCAACGTTTCACATTCCATATGAGAATCAAACCTATATCACTAGAAATTTTTTAAAACACTATTTCAACAGAAATATTTAGAACCATCATACTTAACTAGAAACCAATGGCTTTTTGAAACTGATTTTTGGAAATGTGTAACAGTTTATGTCGAAAGAGGAAAATGATTTTTTCAAAAACGTGCAGTTGAAATATATGTGATTTTGGTGAAACACACGAGTGAAATGTAACATGTAGGTTGTGATTTGTGAAATAGTAACCACAAAATGTGAAATTGATTTTTTGAAATAGTGAAATATGTTAATTTTTCAAAAATGTGTAACTAAAATAGATGTGATTTTTGTGAAACATGACAGTGAAATGTAAAAATGTAGGTTCTAAATTGTGAAATACTAACCACAAAATGTGAAATTATAATGTATCAATGTGAAACTGATTATTTCAAAAGAGTGAAATATGTTTTGTGAAACTGTGTAACTAAAATATTTGTGATTTTTGTGGAACATGATAGTGAAATGTAAAAAGTAGGTTCTGAATTGTGAAAATATTAACCACGAAATGTGAAATTACAATGTATAAATGTGGAACTGATTGTTTCAATAGAGTGAAATATATTTTTTCAAAAATATGTAATTGAAATATACGTGATTTTCCTGAACCAAGCCAGTGTGAAGTGAAATTTAGGTTCTGAATTATGAAAGAGTAACTACACAAAGTGAAATTCTATTATATCATTTGTGAAAATGATTGTTTGAACATGTGTAATAGTTTATTTCAAAAGACTGAAATATGTTACTTTAAAAATGTGCAATTTAAATAGATCTTTCTTATTTGTCAAGCAAGCCCGTGAAAAGTGAAATGTAGGTTCTGAATTGTGCAATATCCATTATAGAAAGTGAAATAGTAATGTATCATTGTGAAATAGATTGTTTTGACATGTGAAATATATGTTCAAATTTAAATGTGGTTAAAAATATTCAAGATTGATCTCATTTTAAAGGTTTTGGCGCAAGGAGTTCAAATATAAATAAGTTTCACAAATGAATATATATGGTTTAAAAGATATGGATGTTTTAAATCAGCAAAGGAGGAATAAATGGTTGGATCTATTGTGTGGGAGAAGAAAAAGTGTTTCTGCCAGACTGTGATTAATGTATGTGAAGTACACTAATGGGGACAACTATTCAAGAGAGGCAATAGAAATATGAAGATGGGAAATCCAGAAAAGAAATTTAATACAAAGATACTTGGCCCACATAGTGTTAGATGGCAGCTCCCTATTGAACACCACCTTGCCAGTAGGTAGCGCAACCGTGCAATTATACATTTTGTGGGGAATGGCAGCTCAGTTGCGGCCAATGACCGGTAGGGGGGCGCTTGGACAAGTGACATTGGGGCAGTTCCTTGTCAAGTCCGGCATGGTTCGAGGATCTAGCGCCGGCCAGGCACCTCCGCCGCTCGGCATGGTCCATGGATAGATGAACCCTGCACAATAGGGGCAGCAACCTGGCCCAATGATGTACCCAATGGCATGGGCCAACGACATCTTCCCGGTGATGGTCGACGACATGGGGTTCGTCCTTAATGGGTATGCAGGAATAACCATGGTACCACCGGCGCCACCTCCTCAAGGTGGGGTGGGTATCGTGAGCCTCGGGTCATCGAACGGGAGGAGCGCCATGACGCAGGTTGACATGATGACCTGCATGTGCGACAGAGCAATAATGGATAACGACGATGTCCGAAAACGTGGCACCCAGGAGGATCCGTCCTGCAAGAGGAGCATCGATTGTCGCCATTGTCGCATGATCAAGAACCGTGAGTTAGCCGCATGATTGCGTGCCAAACAGGTACTTACCTTGCTACCAAAATTATTGGTTTTTATGCAAAGCCATTTCTGCAACTGTAGTAACAAGGTTGGTGACATGTACACACTGTCTTTGTTAATCCTACAGGCTTATAGCATGGAGCTTGAAGCTAAACTGAACCACTTCTAGGAGGAGAATGTTCGTCAGAAAGCTAAGGAGGTACGGAGCTGCTGACCAGTGAGAATGATGAGACAATTTAGTTTTCTTATTATTTTCAGTTCATACCGTTACTAAACGGTTTCATTGTTTTGTTGCAGAAGATGATTCTGCTGACCAAGAAACAAATGGTATGTACATTTTCCCACCATCGCAATAAAATCCTCCTACACTCGTGATCACTTGCCAATTGCTTGTAACAATCTAATTGCTAAGTCTTAACACAATCAATGTGTGCATGCTGATGAAGCCACCTTGTGGTCATGATATTTTTTTCTTATAGCTGGTGGTGAAGATGATGGAACAGTCCAAAGAGAACGTGAACGCTGAGGGAGTCCTGGATTAGGGGGTATCCGGACAGCCGGACTATATACTTTGGCCGGACTGTTGGACTGTGAAGATACAAGACTCAAGACTCCGTCCCGTGTCCAGATGGTACTCTGCTTTGCGTGGAAGACAAGCTTGGTGATCCGGATATTATATTTCCTTCTTTGTAACCGACTCCATGTAAACCCTAGCCCTCTCCGGTGTCTATATAAACCTGAGAGTTTAGTCCTTAGAGGGACGATCACAATCATAATCATCATAGGCTAGCTTCTAGGGTTTAGCCTCTACGATCTCGTGGTAGATCAACTCTTGTAATACCCATATCATCAATATCAATCAAGCAGGAAGTAGGGTTTTACCTCCATCGAGAGGGCCCGAACCTGGGTAAAACATCGTGTCCCTTGCCTCCTGTTACCATCAGCCTTAGACGCACAGATCGGGACCCCCTACCCGAGATCCGCCGGTTTTGACACCGACATTGGTGCTTTCATTGAGAGTTCCTCTATGTCGTTGCTGCAAGGCTTGATGGATCCTTCAATAATCAACAACAATGTGGTCTAGGGTGAGACTTTTCTCCCCGGACAGATCTTCGTGTTCGGCGGCTTTGCACTCCGGGCCAATTCGCTTGGCCATCTGGAGCAGATCGACAGCTACGCCCCTGGCCACCAGGACAGGTTCGGAAACTTGAACTACACGGCTGATATCCATGGAGACTTGATCTTCAACGAGTTCAAGCCTGCGCCAGGAGCACCGGACAGTTACGATGAGCACGGCTTAGACCTGCTGTCGGACAATGCTTGGGATATCGCCCCTGCACGAGCCCCGGACCTAAATCCGGAGCAGATTGCGTCGCCCGAGGATGGGTGGATGGACCCTGCCCCAGGGGCCACACACTCATCGGCGGTAGAGCCGAACACAGGCCTCACCCCCAAGGAAGCATGTGACACCGGACCCCCGGACTTGTATCTGGCTGTAGGTTCCAGTCCGCGCACTCCCGAGCCTGCCGAATCTGGTTGGGTTCCGGTAATGGAGTTCACCGCTGCGGATATTTTCCAGTGCTCGCCCTTTGGCGACATGCTAAACTCATTAAAGTCTCTCTCTATGTCAGGAGACTCCTGACCGGACTATGTACGGCCCAAGGAGGAAGAAGGTGACGAAGAAATCCGTTGCCCACCCACCACCCACTTCATAGCCATTGTCGATGATCTATCAGACATGCTTGACTTCGACTCCGATGATAACGACGGTATGAATGTCGGTGCAGGAGACGATTCAGAACCAACGGG